GCCCCCGTACTTGACATCGGCCGGCAACCGTTATGGTCCCGCTTCCCGGAAACCTATGGTGAAGATGTTTATATCGGGAAGACGATGGGTGCCGCTGTGGTAAAAACCTATGAACAGGATGGTTTGAAAAATGCAACCGCTGTAGCCAGTTGTATGAAACACTATCTCGGCTACTCAGCATCGAGAAATGGTAAGGATCGTACACCGATCTATCTACCAGAGATTGAAATGCGGGAATATTACCTGCCTCAATTCCGCGAAGCGGTAAAAGCCGGATCTTCTTCGATTATGATCAATTCATCCGAAATCAATGGTATACCGGTTCATGCGGATAAGTATTTACTGACGGATGTATTACGGAAGGAACTCGGATTCCAGGGGCTCATCGTAACAGATTGGGAAGATATCAAACGTCTTCATGAACGTCACAATGTTGCGGCTACACCCAGGCAGGCAGTGGCGATGGCGATCAATGCCGGAATTGATATGAGTATGGTTCCAGGTGATTACAGTTTTTATGACTTGTTGATTGAAGCTGTTAAAAAAGGTGAAGTGCCGATGAGCCGTATCGATGATGCCGTTAAAAGGATATTGGTACTTAAATTCAAAACCGGGCTGTTTGATAATCCTTATCCTGAGCCAGCAGCAAGAAATAATTTTGGCAAAAGCGAATACCAGGCAATTGCACTCGATGCAGCGCATGAAGCAATGACGCTTTTAAAGAATCAGAACAATGTCCTTCCCCTTACCAAATCAATGAAAGTTTTGGTAGCTGGTCCGTCGGCGCAAAGTATCAGTGCCCTCAATGGCTGCTGGAGTTACACCTGGCAGGGCAAAGAAGAGCAATGGTACCCGGCCGACAGCAAAACCATTTACCAGGCGATAGCTGATAAGATAGGTGCGGCCAATGTGTCGACGATTACAGGAAAGGGTTTCGACAATAAAATGAACTACGATGCGGGTGCGCTTACAAATGCTGCAACAAGCGCTGACGTAATTGTGCTTTGCCTGGGTGAAGATGCTTACGCGGAAAGTCCGGGTAATACACGGGAACTCGCGTTGCCTGATGACCAGGTAGCATTAGCCAAAGCGGCCGCCGCAACTGGTAAGCCGGTAATACTGGTTTTAACGGAGGGACGACCACGTTTTATTACCAATATTGAACCCGCCATGAAAGGCATATTGATGACCTACTGGAGTGGCAGGAAAACGGCGGAAGCAATCGCTGATGTTTTGTTTGGTGATTATAATCCGGATGGTCGTTTGCCATTCAGCTATCCCCGCAGTATGGGAGAGATCGTAATGTATGATCGCAAACCCACTGAAGAAGTTCGTGAAATTTTTAATGACAATGTCAACACGGGTTATGA